GTCATCGGTTTGAACTCTACTGCCCTGCCCTCAGGTGACCAACCGTGAGCCCCACCCCTTAAATTACTTGGGAATTTTTAAAGTCCCCTTCCTGTTTGCTCGGTGACGTGTGCAGTGGTCTGAGCGCATCTTTCCAGGTGACCATGACTGCTCCACGCACCAGGCGATCCCCCGCTTGGAGCAATGCCGAGCTGCTGGACCTCATCAGCATTTGGGGAGAGTAGGCTGTCCAGTCCCAGCTGCGCTCCAGCCATAGGAATTATGATACCTACAGACAGATTTCACAAAACATAACAGAAAGGGGCCATAACCGGGACACACTGCAGTGCAGGGTCAAAGTGAAGGAGCTGCGGAACGCCTACCGCATAGCGCGGGAGGCAAACGGCTGCTCTGGTGCTCTGCCCAAGAGTTGCCGGTTCTACAAAGAGCTGGACACAATACTCGGGGTGACCCCACCTCCACCGTGAAGGCCACTGTGGATACTTTGGTGGCTCGTGTGTCAGTCGAGAGTGGACCGAGCCAGGAGGAGGAAATCTTGGGCGAGGATGTGGAGGGGGAGGGGGACCCAGAGGCAGAGGACGACTTGGAGGTCAGAGATGAATGTAGCCAGGGGCTCTTCTCTACCCCGGAGGAGGCTAGCCAGTCACAGCTATCGGAGCTTGGCAAAGTGCAAACAGGAGAGGAGGCCCCTGGTAAGTGGCTTTGATTTTGGGAATCACTGAAGTGAGTTGTTGGGGGAAGGAGGGTTGCAGAAAGCTGGCTTGTTGTCTGTATGATGCATGTACCACCACATGCCTAGTTTGAGCGGCCAAACAGGGTGTTGATTGACTCCCTCACTTCATGGGAAGCTGTCTCAGAGATCTCCACGAAACTCTCATGGAGATACCGGGCAATCCGCTGCCAGAGGTTCTTTGGCAGAGCTGCTTTGTTTCTTGCTCCATTAAGGGTAACTTTCCCGAGCCTCTCTGTCGGCACTGGGGAGGGGGAGGCATTGCTGCACACAGGCGAGCCGCATAAGGGCCAGGGCGGAAGCCACAGTCTTGGAGAAGACCCTCCCTTGATTCCCTGCTCATCCTCAGCAACGAGATATCTCCCATAACGCACACAGCCTGTGGAAAATGTGGGGACAGTAATGATTATAAAGCCCCCCCCCCCACAGTGCTGGCTCTCCCAAGAGCCATGTGCCCAGTATACACTATGGTCCTGGAACACTGATTTCTCCTGCCCTTGCAGGTACTCACCATTTTGGGGGTCTTGTGGCTCACGTGTGCTTGCCTGGGGTCAGCCAGTTAGTGACAGGTATGTGAATACTGGCTGTGTTTTAAATCACTGAATCAGTGGTCTGTGTGTTGCAAACAATACTGCTTCTGTAAAATGTTGCATTTTGGCTTCACAGATATGACCATGAGAGCCCATCCTCCCTCTTTATTGCCGGCTGAACGGCTGCACAGAATTAGAAAGCGGCCATGAAGAACTAAAGAGGACTTTCTGAGTGATGTCATGATGCAGTCCGTGGCCAAAAAACAAGAATTGAAGGAGTGGCGGGACAGCGAGAAGGGGTACCGAAAGGAGAACTCAGCGCCCCAGAACGAAGCCACGGAGCGGCTCTTAAAAGTTATGGAGCGCTAAGCAGACACACTCCATGTGCTACTAGCACTGCAAACCGAGCAGCTCCACGCCCGCCCTCCCCTGCAGCCGCTGTCGCAAAACTCTTTCCCATGCGCTCCCCAGACACTGCCAACGCACTCTTATCCACTTCCTGGCTCCAGTCTGTACCCGCTGCATTCCACTCCTGCCTTGTCACAGTCCAGCCCTGCGGACTCCCAGTACCCACTGCACTCAACACCTGTCCCTCTGCAGTTTAGCCCTGCTAAAGTACAGTACCCACTGCACTGGACTCCAGAGGACAAGGTTGCATATGATACCTGAACATACACAAATCTTTAACTGTCCTGGGACCCCACCTCATCCTGAGACCCTCTTTTCCCCCATCCCTCACAGTGCTGATGGGTTTTTTTGTTTGTCTCTCTCCTCCGGTTGTTGTTTTTTAATAAAATAATTGTTTTGGTTTGAAAGCAATCTTTATTCCATTAACTGAAATCAAACAGTGCCCTGCAAAGCAACAGGCAATTTTCTTAAACCTTCATAGTGAACCAATCACAATCACCTCCTAGCATTACAAACACTGCACTCCCGAGCATAGCAACAAATATTAGTGGATTTCAGCTTCAAATTGCTGCCTCAAGGCATCCCTGATCCTTATGGCCCTGCGCTGCGCCCCTATAATAGGCCTGGTCTCTGGCTGCTCAAATTCAGCCTCCAGGCGCTGAGCCTCAATGGTCCAGCCCTGAGTGAAGCTTTCACCCTTCCCTTCACAAATATTATGGAGTGTACAGCATGTGGCTATAAGCATAGGAATATTGTCATCGGCCAGGTCCAGCCTCCGATATATGCAGCACCAGCGGGCCTTTAAATGACCGAAAGCACACTCAACAGTCATTCTGTGCTTGCTCAGCCTCTTGTTGAACCGCTCCTTGCTGCCTTCAAGGTGCCCCATGTATGGCTTCAAAAGCCACAGCATTAAGGGATAGGCAGGGTCTCCCAGGATCACAGGGGGCATTTTGACTTCCCCTATGGTGATCTTCTGGTCCAGGAAGAAAGTCTCTGCTTGCAGCTTCCTGAACAGGCCAGTGTTCCGAAAGATGCATCAGTCATGCACCTTTCCGGACCAGCCTGCGTTAATGTCCGTGAAATGCCCATGGTGATCCACAAGCGCCTGGAGAACCATAGAGAAATACCCCTTCTGATTAATGTACTCGGTGGCTAGGTGGTCTGGTGCCAGAATTGTAATATGTGTGCCATCTATCACTCCTCTGCAGTTAGGGAAGCCCATTTGTGCAAAGCCATCCACAATGTCACACACGTTGTCCAGAGTCACGGTCTTTCGGAACAGGATGCGATTAATGACCCTGTACACTTCCATCAACACGAATCCAATGGTCGACTTTCCCACTCCGAACTGGTTAGCAGTCTGGAGAAGTCAGCTTCCACGGTTCAATCGCCACGCGCTTCTCCAACGACAAGGCAGCTCTCATTCTCGTGTCCTTATGCCGCAGGCTTGAGTGAACTCATCACACAGTCGCATGAATGTGGCTTTCCTCATCCGCCACTGCTTGTCATCCCAGATGTGCATGACGATGTGATCCCACCACTCAGTGCTTGTTTCCTGAGCCCAAAAGTTGTGTTCCACTGTGGTCAGCACCTCTGTGAATGCCACAAGCAATCTCGTGTCGTAGCTACTACGCGTGGCGAGATCAATATTGAACTGCTCTTGCCTTTGTAGTTTAAGGAATAACTCCACTGCCGCTCGTGTTAGTGAGAGCGAGCAGCATATTGGTCAACAGTGCGGGATCCATTCCTGCAGAACGAAGAGGCAGAGCACGCAGTATGCAAACTGTTGAAAGATGATGCCAAATGCGGACGGATGCACAGGATGGGATTGCTGGGATGTGAAGCAATGCATCACGGGCATTGGGACAGGACCCAGGATGCCCCGTGACCCTCTCCTCCTTCCCACAACTCTTAGCGGCAGAAGAGGAAGAGATACTCTGTGGGATAGCTGCCCAGAGTGCACTGCTCCGAATATCGCTGCAAGTGCTGTAAATGTGAACATGCTATTGCGCATGCAGCTGACAGTGTGAACACACAACAGTGGTTTCCCCTCAGCGCTCTCTGAGTGGTGCTGTCACTGCCGGCGATGTAACTCTGCCAGTGTAGACATACCCTAATACCCCATCTTCTGCTTTAGCTGTTAAGACATTGATCTATAATCAGTCAAGATAATTTTCTTCTGAGTTATCAGTGACTTGGAAACAGGTTAGTCCATTTTTTATATAGAATACTACTCCCCACTCCTTTTTGCCCTCTTGATCCTTCCTAAATAGCTCATAACCATTGATTTTAAAATTCCAGTCATGGGAATCATCCCACCATGTTTCAGTAATACCAGCTTGATCAAATTTATGCTTATAAATGAGCAATTCCAATTCATCTTGTTTGCTACCCAGACTCCTAATGTTAGTGTATAGACAGTGCCTGGATTACAGTGTCTCTGTAAATGTGCTCCTTTAGATAGGCAGTTCCTTGAAAGCTACCAACTTTTCCTTCCTGTTTTTCTGGAAGCTCCTAATTTTGGAACGGTTCACATGTTCAGTACAGAAGGGGTACAAGTACAAGCTACAGACCACTGGTCCAAACATCAGTTATTTTCTTTTTCTTCTATAGGTCTCTACTTAGCTTAAAGGAAACCTGCATTGCAGCTAAACCCAAGCAGTGTGTAGCCTTTGAATGAGAAATAAGAAAAGGTGCAACAAGAGAAAAGGAGAGAGATTCATGGTGCAAAAAGGAAAAATATACTTATGAAAGGGAAAAAAATGAAAAGGGAAATAAAAAGCAGATGCAGAAAAGTGGAAAGAGACGAGACAGCTTTAGTGGTGGCAGGATGTGACGTGTGGGGACAGCTTGTAAGGGAGTTCATTTGCCAGCCCATCACAAGTTGGGATCCAGAAAAGAAGTTGTGAACCACTGGTGTTTTGTACATACCCATCATCCTTCCTTTTAAGCACAGTCCTACATGTTGCTGAGTAAATCCTGTGAAGTGCTTAGACCCTTCAACCTCCTTTGAAGTCAGGAGGAAGGGGAAAGGGGAGATATGATGTTGCAGAGAAGTGACTGACCTCATCTTGTGCATAGAGGCTCCCCTCCATGTGGGATCACAATCTGAGCAAAAGAAAATAAATGTGAATTGGTTTGCTCTGTTCTTCGAAGCATGTTCAATGAAAATTGCTTTAAAATGTTTTCAAAAAAAGCTTGTGAAATGGATTTAGTATTTATTCTTCCACACCATATTAGAGAGGTTAAGTAGAAAAGGCTTAAATCAACAGTAGGTTTCTTTACCTTATATTATTAAGTAACAGTATTATTTCTTTTGCATTCAACAGCGTATGCTTGATATGACGTTTGGAGCAGGAGGTCATACTACAGCTCTTCTACAGAAAGTAACTGATATTACAATATATGCACTAGACAGAGACCCAGCAGCTTATAAAATAGCTCAGGAACTTTCAGAATCATATCCGTAAGTAGAATTCTGCTTTTCTTGCCTTATCTATGGTATTTATGGGGTGTCAAGCACCATACTTTATCTTTTGTGTATAAATTTAAATGGCTATAGTACTACAGTATGTGCCTATTAGTTTCATTAAAAGAAAGAAACCTACCTTAAGTCACTTTTGACTTTTTTGCATGTAAGGCTTAAATTTGTATGAGACTACTTGAATTTAATGCATTTTCTCTGCTGCTGCTTGCCCTGTGTGCTTTAGCTAGTCATTGCAGTGTTTAAAACTGAGTGTGATCAGTTTTAATTAGGGATTATTCTAGTAACAAGCTTGCATTTAAAAATTTTTTATTGGACACCAAATTAGTTTTGCCACAAAAGAAATCTTTCACAACAAACAAGAAATTGATTTAATAAAAGTTTAGTTTTTAATTAAATTATGAGCTAATTAAGGTGTGACTCATTTACACTAGACAGATTCATAAAAAACAAATAAAGATAATTTACTGAGTTTCAGTATTATATTTCCTCTGTACTTTGTGATTTATGCCGCTGGCTTCAGAATGTAGTCATCAAGTAAACAAGGTCACAATCTTGTGTCACAGTATCTGCTAGCACAGACTCCTGTGCCCATGTTTTACTCAGATCTTAATTTGCTACGCAGAAAAGGACAGGAAATACAATAGTGCTCTTAAGAAATGTATTTTAATAATTCCTTTGTTAATATTACAAATGTTATATTCTTTGATTCTTTTTTCTTTTATAAAGAAGTGACATTCAAATCTATGGCAAAAATGCTTTTAGATTAAACGTTGAAGTCTTTCAACTTCCTTTCTCTTTGTTGCATAACATTTATTCTGTTTTCCCATAGAAATTTAATTTAGTGTATATGCGCAATTCACGTCTCACTTGTAACACAACCATCTTTTTTTTTTTTTTGTTCTGAAACTCTTAATGTTCATCCCAAAGCTAACAAATTCCAATAATTACATTAGTACAGGTGACTGGGATAGATTATATAGTTTATTTCTTGATATAATTTGGTGAAATCACATTCTGAAGCATGAACACTATCTCTGTGCACTCAATTTTATGCCTGATATTTATGCTGCCCCACGTAGCAGTGCCACATTACTATTTGGAGTTCCAGGAGACCTATTGCCTTGTTTCATAGAACTTAAAAGTAACTATTTTGTGAACTCATCAGATGACATGGATAACTAACATTATCTTCAAAAAGGAGTCAAATCTTTGAACTTGCCTTGGAAGCAGTGACTGACTGGGTGAGTGAAAACAGCCAGAATAGTGCTTCTACATTACTATCTGTATTGGGGATGGGTATATGTGTGAACTAATAAATTGGGTTCAAAGCATAGTGGATGGAGAGGAAACAGGAATAGATAAAGAAGAAGAGGTGAGAGACAAGGAACAAGAAGCAGATGGGGAAGGAGAATTAGGAGCCAAGATGGCTTACATTTCACGGAAGATTCTGGAAAATATATTGGAAACTGAGAAGCCAAGTACACAAACTGGAGAGCACAAAAGACAGAAGGAATTCTCAGAATCAGAGCCTGTTTGGCAAAATAGGTAGAACAGATGAAGTATATTGGGGGCAGCAGAACATTATTTTGTCTGTAACTGTGGGCTGATAGGGAGCAGACATATGCTGTGTTGCCTGGAGTAGTGGTAGTTTGGTGAAAGTATATCAAAATACTAACCAGGCAACTCACCAGTGGTTGTCATCATAAGTTTCAGTGATGTGTGCTGATGTGGCATTGCTTCATCTTCAATGATGGGCCAAAGTAAAGGGAAGAGAATGTGGACAAAATAACAAGGTAACTGAAGGCAGTTTGGCCTCAAGTAGCAGTTCCATGGCCAGCCAAACAAAGAGCGTGTAGGCATGCTTGTACATAAATGGTGTGCAGCTGAGTAGGCCCATTTCTAAAAATATTATTGTTTTGACTTGACCAGGATGTGGAAATTGTGTTGGTATAAAAAACAAATAAAACTGAAGTGCCTGGGAGTTTGTTCTGGAAAAATTGTTTTTTGGGGGAAAGGAAACTTCCTGCATTTTAGAAGCCTTTACAGTATTTTAAGAGATTTTATGTACAGTCTCTGTATAACCTGTGTATTAGATTTATCTTTCTTCCAAAGAAGAGAGGAAACTGGAGGAGGGACAGATCCTCCTTTAGAGGAGAGGAGACAGAGAGGAGACACCTGGCTTGGGCATCTCATCTTCATACATTCTCTGCAACCCCAAAGATGCTGATGCTTTACTGTTGAAAGGCTAGGGGCCTCAGAAATGACTCAAACAGCCATCAACTCTCCTGTTGCTTCCGCTTCAGTTCCCCTAACTGTTGAGCCCTCACCTCCTAGCCTGAGATGACTTCTGGAAGTGCAGAACTCTCCAAGTCAGGCAGAGGAGGGGGAGTTTTTCCTCTGAGTCTAACAGAGAGAAGGATTAGATCTTCTTCTCCTTACTTTACTGCTGGTCATTATTACCCCAGGCTTGACCCTGCTCAGCAACCATTATATCAAGGGGGAGGACAGTCCAGACATACAATCCCTTAACGGCCTTCCTCTTGATATTACATTGGGATAGTGAGCAGTCCCAATGCCTCTGATTTTAATTGCCACGACAGATCAGAGAACAGCAGATAGTTCAGATTACAACAATCCTATATTAACACTGTAAATAGTTAATTAAATTCAAAATAGCTATATTAAAAATACTTCATTTAGGCTGCAAAGTCAAGTACCTGAAAGTTAGGAAATGCCAGGTGTAGGGGCATCTTCTTAATTTTACCTTCTTGTGAATCCATCCTAGCCACTGAAGGAGGTCCTGTTGAATAATAGCATGTAGTAATGTAATCAAGACTATCATAATGTATATACACAAGGGAGGTGAATTAGAGTTGCTCAGGCAGCCTTAATTCTGGCATTTCTTAACTTCCCAGTGCTTCACTCCCAGAGGGGGAATTGGCCACCAGCACCACATGATGGGTCTTGGGGGTGATTGAAGGAAGCCTGGCCTCTCTCTTCCCCACCTCTGGGATCTCTGTCTCCATATGGAACCCCCAGCGTGGTGGTAAGAACAGGGGTGGAAAGTTATGGGAGGAAGTCCAGCAAGGCTTCTCTTCCCTTCCCTCCCCCCCCCAGTAGGTATGGGTTTCCTGCCCCATGTGATGCCCACAAAGGAGCCTATATGATGAGTCCTGGAGAGGGCAGTGGCTGGCTTTTCTCCCTCCCCTCACCACACTGGCAACAGCTACTTAGACAGCTCCCACATGTTCTCTGTATGTTCATGATGCCATTAGCTCAGTTCGAGGCCATGTCTACTATACGAACGCTACAGTGGCACAGGTACAGCTCCATAGCTATGCCGGTTTAACGCCGTAGCATAGTCACAGACTACACAGATGGAACCTCCACCTCCCTGACTTGCAAGGGTGCCACTAGAATAGCAAAACCTTTCCTGTTAAGTCTTCTGTACCATTTTGTATAGAAGTATCACAAAAGGAAATAAATAGACTCAGCTAGTCCAAATCTTACATCCAGGAGATCAAGGCAGCATTCACAAAACAAAGAGGAAGACACCCACGCTGCTCTATAGATGGATAGTTCTGTAACTTAAAGTCCATTTTCCCCTAATGAACAGATATCCTACTCAGCCTGTTTTCTGGCGGAGTTTGCTTTCCCAACTAGATGAAAAGATTTTAGAAGTGCCAGGTATTATTCTACCCATAGAAGCAGATACTGTATTTGTTTCCAAAGTGGAATTCTCTTTTCCCATCCCTTCTTCACTTTTGTTTACATAAGACATGCTGATGTCTAATCACAGAATTACAGCTGATGTAATTTATTATGACAATGTGAATTGCAGAAGGGCTTCCTCACTCCTCTTCATGTCAATAAGTTGATGTGAAGCTATTCGTATGGGCGCTGAAGTTGAGGTGCTCAACACTATAGACTCATGTCCATCAAAAGAATCCTTGTGGATTCTTTCTGAAGTAGCATATCTCGCAACCACTGTTTGAGAAATCACTACTTGACCAGCTGAGACAGAATTAATTCACACACTTAAATAGTTCAGAACATACAGATGCAATCTTGTGTTGTGTTTTGTTTTGTTTTCTCCCTACATCTCCCATTTATACAGCATTGGAATGAACTGATTGGTCATTTCTCCAGAGAGATAAGAAATTTATCTATCTTGTGCAGTAGTTTGTCCATAATTCAGATTGCCATCTTTAAGTAGAAAAACTGTTTCCTTATGGCATACACAGCCTTTATTAATCTCACTAGCTTTGGGTTATTAGTTCTGCTTCACAGTTGTAAATGAATGAGCATTTTTGATGTATGTATAAATTAAAATACATTTTGACTGGACTGTTCTTCAAGTGCTTGCTCATATACATTCCATGTTAGGTGTGTGCGTGCCGCATGCACTGTTGCCAGAGATTTTTCCCTCAGTGGTATCCATTCAGCTGTCTCTGGTGCCCTCTGGAGCCATGCACTTATGCGCCAGTATAAGAGGCACCGCCAGCCCTCACCCTCTCAGACTTGTTACTGGACCTTTTTCGAAGAAAAATTTATTCAACTGCCAGCCTGGCAATTTCGGGTGTCAAACCATCAGGCCCTCTTGGGCAGATGCAATTTTAATTTATGGGACTCCCTCCATAAGTTCAAGGAGTACCTCCTGCAGGGTTTGGCCCAAGATTTCGGCACCATAGTAGAGGAGGGCACCTCGGCGGCTAGGTGCTCTCTCCATATGGCGTGGGACGCTGCAAACTCAGCAGCCAGGGTGGTTGCCGCGGCAGTGGTTATGAGGCACAGCTCCTGGCGTCAGCCCGCCGGCCTTTCCCAAGAGACACAGACCTCGATCCAGGACCTCCCATTTGATGGGAATGGTCTCTTCTCTGAACAGACAGATGCGATGCTGCATGGGTTAAAGGACACTCAGGCCACCCTTTGCTCACTGGGCATGCATATGCCGCAGTCAGCACGGAAGCAGTTCCGGCCGCCACCCCTCCCCCCAAGGCCTTGGCAGCCTCAGCAGGGGTCTGCAAGGAGAAGGGATAGAGACACGAGTTTTAGTTGTCGCTGCCCTTCCTTCTCCCGCTCACCTGCGCAGCCCAGCCTGGCAAAGCATCCTGGGGGCCAGAAGCACTCATTTTGAAGGTGCGCTCGAGAGCGACGCCCCAGTCAGTTTCCCAGATCCACCTTGTTCTTCCTCGACCATCTTCATCCCTACCATTCAGCCTGGTTGCGGGTCACCTTGGACCACTGGGTGCTGGACATAGTATCTCGGGGCTATTCCCTGCAATTTTTGTCTGCCCCTCCCTTCCACCCGCCCTCTTCACCATCCCTTTTCAAGGACCCTTCTCACGAGCAACTCCTCATTCAAGAGATCGAGAACCTCCTGTGCCTGGGGGCGGTGGAGGAGGTCCCTCGGGACATGAAAGGAAAAAGGTTCTATTCCTGCTACTTCCTTATCTCAAAGGCAAAAGGTGACCTCAGACCCATCCTGCACCTGCGTTTCCTCAGCAAGTCTCGTAAAAAGTTGAAGTTTCTCATGATCTGCCTGGCCTCCATCATTCCCTGCCTGGGATCCAGGCAGGCAGGCAGAACAGGAAATGCCATCAGTTTTGTTCACTGCGTGCACATAGCCCAGGCTTCCTCTCCAGTGCCTATCCAAAGTCATGGCCCACCCAATCACGACAGCTCGGGTGTGACTCAAGCTGCTGGGTCACATGGCAGCTTGTACTTAAGTGGTTCAGCATACAAGGCTGCGCCTCAGGCTCCTCCAGATGTGGCTAGCATAAGTATACCACTTGGACTCAGTGCTCATGGTCCCTCCCCTGGTCCTCGCCTCCCTGGACTGATGGAAAGACCTGAGATCAGTGATGATGGGGGGGGTGTGCCCCTTGTTATCTCTCAGACGCGTCGGACTTAGGGTGGGGAGCCCACCTCAACAATCTCAGGACTCCGGGTCTCTGGTCCCAAGATGAATTCTCCCTGCATATAAACATCAGGGAGCTCAGGGTGGTACGCTTAGCATGCCAAAGTTCCTCTTCCCAGATCTCAGGTAACGTGGTGTAGGTCCTGACAGACAATACTGCAGCCATGTTTTACATCAACAAGGAGGGAGGGGCTCAATCTTCGGCCTTGTGTCAGGAGGCCATCTATCTGAGGGACTTCTTCGTGAAGCGTTCCATTTATCTCAAAGCGTCACATCTCCCGGAAGCCTGGAATGTACTGGCAGATCACCTCAGCAGATCCTTCTCCTCTAACCACGAGTGGTCCCTTCACCCAGAGGTCACCAGATTCATCTTCCAAAGATGGGGTCCTCCCCAGGTGGACCTATTTACCACCAGGCAGAAGGAAATGCCATCAGTTTTGTTCACTGCATGCACACAGCCTGGGCTCCCTCTCTGATGTCTTCCTGCTCTCATGGACAGACCACCTACTTTACACCCCAACCCCCTTGGTTCACAAGGTCCACCTAAAAATCAAATGGGACAAGGCAAGAGTTATTCTGATAGCACCGACGTAGCCGTGCCAGAATTGCTTTGACATGCTCCTGGATCT